AAGTGGCAGGCGTGGCGCAAGAAGACTCATCCACTAACAAAAGGCCTTCTTGTTATTACTTTAAAAGGATCTAGAGACATGATTTGCTTGTATAGCTGTTAAGCACTCTTAGTTTTACTTTATTATTCCCGTGAGAAGAGAAAAGCACTTGTTCACTCTTGTTGCTGCACCCGTTATCACTGAGACAACTAAAATTATTTCACCTTTAGAAGACTAAAGTACCGAACAAAGTTTTGAATTTCTTTATCTTTTTTGCATGATTGGGCAGTAAAAATGTTGTACTTTCACAAAATAAGTGCGCAATTTGTCAAAAATTGTTTGAAATTTAGATATAACCATTCAAAAAGTAAAAAAATTATCATACATACATAAAGGAATGACAAAATGGCGGCACTGACTGCCTCATCTTTAATCTGCAAATGTTCCACACAAAGTTACTCCAAGTGCTGTCATATTTAGCAGGAACACAGGTATAATTATGGAGAACAGCTACTGAAGTGCGCAAATTGATGAGACTTATTCTGAAGAAAGATATAGCCTAGTAAATGGAAATGTCCATTCCTGCCCTGTATAAAGTCAACCAGTAGTATACGGAGATAATTGCTCGGTATACTAATCCGCGACCACTCATTGCTGGACATGCACTCAGTTGTCATGTTGCAGCTGGAGTGTGGATGATTATGACCATCTTTTCACTTCTTAAAACTATAGGACTGGTCTTTATTCACATGTAAGAAGCATTCCAAGGATCATAAGTGTGCTAGAATAGCTAAGCATCATGTAACTAGCTATTAATAGTAACGTCCAGTATGAAGTAAAACACTTTCATCGTTACATGATTTTTATGTTTTTATTCATGTTAAAAATTGATGTTAATAACAATAATTATCTTTGTTATCGTCAAGATGGTTTCAAATTATTGTGTATATACTGTTTATCATAAAGTGTGAGTAAATACATAAATAGTCGTCTATACAAATGCAATGTAGTGACCTAGTGATAACAACAATAATAGTTCTAGCAACAACACCCATTATGTTTTTTATAATTCAAAATAATAAATGAAACTGTTGGGAGAGGATACAAATGGTGAAGAGCCATGAACGAGTCCTGAATGTGATGATTCCTTTCTGCAAGTACTGAATAGCGACTGACAGATTTTAATGACATGAGATGCTCATACAGTACAATCAGTGAATTTACAGATAAAGAATGAGTTCTTGCATGCCTCAACTATCTATAAGAGCCAACCTATAGTTTTAAGAAGTGAAAAGATGGTCATAATCATCCACACTCCAGCTGCAAAATAACAACTGAGTGAGTATTCCACCGTACCTTGTCCTGATGGACTGAAACTAACTCTGATGATAGACACTAGTCATAGGACTCAGCTGAATGCACTTCTATCTTCCTAGCAATGGAGGGGCAAGCGCCCTGGCTCCTGAAAGCAAAATTTAGAAAAACGGGAATGGCCGGATCATGTGAAATATCCCACTCCAAGAGATATCCGACTCCTAGAAGCATCTGACTCCATCTATCAATTAAATAATAATTGGCCACGCCTACCTATATAACTAGCCGCACCCACCACTTACCACGCCTGTTTTAATGTCAAAACTCAAAATAACTTAATCAAGAATGGAAAATTTGAGTCTATTAACCAAGTTATTATTATTTACAATTCAGTATCTATACAGGATATTGAGTGGCAATGTCTTGTATTATTGATTGCCAACACTCATAATCATTTCTGCCAAATCTTTCTCTATACATGAATTCATCCAGGTACCCTGGCAATTGATGCTCGTGACATCCTTTCATGCGTTTAAGC